AAACATAAGGCCTGAAACTGAAGAACTAATCCAGGAAAACATACAAGAAAAGCCCTATGACATTAGTCTGAGTAGTGATTTTTTTGGATATGACCACAAAAGCACAACCAAAATACATAAAAAACTCAACTCAATATCTACAAAACAAATTAACCCAATCTTAAAAATGGGCAAAGGATCCAAATAGACATTTCTCAATAGAAAACATACAAATGGCCAACAAATACATGAGAAAATGCTCAACATACTAATCATCCAGGAAATGCAAATCAAAACCACAATAAGATGCCACCTCATACTTGTTAGAATGGCCATTATCTAGAAGGTAAAAGATAACAAGTATCGATGAGATGTGGAGAAAAGGGAACCCTGATTGAAAGTATATTGGTACAGCCATATTTAAAACAATGTGGAGGTTCCTCAAAAAGTTAAAAACAGAGCTACCATATGATTCAGCAATCTCACTTCTGGTTATATATCCACAGAAAATTAAATAAATATCTGGAAGAGCAATCTGCACTTCCATGTTCATTGCAGCATTATTCACAATACATTCACAATAACCAAGATACGGAATAAATCTAAGTGCTCATCAACAGGTAAATGGATAAAGAAAATGTGCAATATATAAATACACACACACAGACACAGACATAAATGGGATATTATTTATCCTTAAAAAGAAAAGGAAATTCTGTCATTTGTGACAACATGGATGAAACAGGGAGACATGCTAAGTGAAATAAGCCAGACATAGAAGGACAAATACTGCATGCTCTCGCTTATATATGAAATCTAAAAAAAGTTAAACTCATAGAAGCAGAAAGTAGAATGGTGGTGGCCAGGAGCTGAGAAGTGGGGGCAATAGGGAAATGTTGGTCAAAGGGTAAAACATTTATGTTCTCTTGAATGAATAGGTTCTAATGTACAGCATGGTGACTATCATTAACAATATTGTACTTTATACTTGAAAACTGCTGAGAGTAGATCTTCAACATTTTCACCATATTGACTAAAATGGTAACTATGTATGATACATATGTTAGTTTGATTGTGGTAATCATTTCACAAGGTATACATATATCAAAATATTACATTGTACATCTTAAATATATATAACTTTTATTTGTCAATTAGGCTCCAGGAAAGCTGGAAAAGCATAAATGCTTGAAATATTGGGAAAAGAAGATAAAAATAATATAAGAAAATACATAAAGCAAAAGTTTCAGAACAAAAAGGTGGCAAATCTATAATCATAGTTTGAGATTTTACTATAACTTTCTCACTAAGTAACAAAGCAAATATTTTTTAAAATCAGTAAAGAAATTTAATATTTGAAAAACACTGTTTACCAACTTGACTAAGTTAACATAGGTAGAAGACTACATCTAACCATCGCCGAATATACATTCTTTCCTGTCCATACAATAAATGCACCAAAATAGACTTTAGTCTATAAAGTAAATCTCAACAAATTTCAAAATATTGAAATAATATACTGCATGATTAGTGATCACATCAGTAAATAAACAGTATAATTTTAATAAAACCTATGGTCACAGAGAATTCAAAATAAAAATGAGAAAATACTTTCAGCTGAATGCTAATGAAAACATACATATTAAAACCTGTGGGATGCAAATAAAAGTTCTCCAAGGAAAATGCATTAGCTTTAGTGCATACATTAGAAATTTTTAAAAGTTCAAACTCATTTCTCAATGCTTCCAAGTCAAGAAGCTAGGAAAAAATTTGAAAGTAACTAACAGTAAGTTAAGTGCAAAATAAGACAAGGGAAGAAAATGATAAAACCATGAGGAAAATCAATGAAATAAAAATCAACAGAAAACATTAACAGAGCTAATAGTTGGAATTTTGAAAAGATTAGGAAAATTAACAAACCCTTAGTGAGACTTATCAAGGTAAAAAGGATAACATAAATTATCAATATCAGGAATGAAAACAGAGGACATCACTACAGAGCCCACGAACACTAAAACATAGTACGAAAATATTCTGAAAGTATAGATGAGTTTCTTGAGAAAACAATTACCAAAACTGAAAAAAGAAGAAATGTAAAGTCTGAATAGATCTATATTAAATATACTGAATCATAATTTAAAGCCTTCTCACAAGGAAGCCTGCAGGCTCAATTAACTTTATGGTAAATTATTTCAAACATTTAAGGAAGAAATACTGCCAATCTTACACAAATTCTTCCAGAGAATATAAAAAGAGAGGACACTTTTCTATTAATTTTAAAAGACTGATATTACCTGTAACTTGACAAAATTACAAAAGAATATCTCCTAAATATAGATATAAAAATTCTAAAACTATATATTAGCAAATAAAATCTAGCAATGTATAAAAAGTATAACTTGCCATGAACAAATGGAAAATATTTGATGAATGCAAAGTTGATTTGCCATTCAAAATCAATCAATTTAACTCACTACATTCACGGAATACAGGACAAAAAACATGATCACCTCAATAGAGTCAGAAAATGTATTTTATATGTTTCAACATTCATTCATGATTTTTTAAAATTCTTGGCAACTAGGAACAAAAGGTGTGTGTTTCTTAATTGTTTATAAATTCTGACACCTCTCCCATTTAGAAGTGGGCCTATGTCCCCTCCCCTTGAATTTGCGTCACATTGTGACTAATATAACCCATTGAGTATGGCAGAAATAACACAATGACAGGCTGAAAAAATCCCATTCAGCATCTGTCTGGTTCTGTTGTAATGCTTGCTCTGAGAGAAGCCAATTGCCACAAAAAATGTTTCACTATTCTAAGACCACCTTTTTAGAGTAGCCATATGTAGACATTCAGGTCCATAGCCTAGCTGAACTCTCATTGAAAGCCAGCATCAATTGGTAGCCATTGGAGTAGGCCATCTTGGATATTCAGCCCAGTCCAGCCTTTAGACAGCTGCAGTCCCAGCTGACACTTGCTTATAACTGCTGAATAGATTTCAAGTAGCAACTGTCGTGTTGGGTTCTTTCCATATTCCGGGTCCACAAAATCAGAGACAAAGTCAAATGATTAATGTTCTACAACACTGAATTTGTGGGAAATTTATTACACAGCAATAGTAGTTGACACAGGAAAGAACACCCTTCATCTGATAAAAGTTATCTACAAAAACTTACGGTTAACATCATATTCAACAGTGAAATATTGAGCATTTCCCCGTGCCGCTGGAGAAAAGGCAAGGATTTCCTTTTGAACACTTTTATTCTGTGTAGTATTCAAGGTCCTAACCAGGGCAATAAGTCAAGGAAAAGACATAATAGTTACAAAGACTGGAAAGGAAGAGGAAAAATATCCTTCATTCACAGATGATGTAATTATGTATGTTAAAAAATCCAAAAGAATCTACAAAAAATAATTAGAATTGATGAATGAATTTAACAATGCACACGGAATCAAAATCAAATATTTAAAAAATACATATTTTTACATAACAAGTGAAAAATTAAACTTTAAAAAATTAATATTTCACTAGGCCAGGCACGGTGGCTCATGCCTGTAATCTCAGCACTTTGAGATGAGTGGATCACGAGGTCAGGAGATCAAGACCATCCTGGCTAACATGGTGAAACCCTGTCTCTACTAAAAAATGCAAAAAATTAGCCGGGCATGGCAGCGGGCGCCTGTAGTCCCAGCTACTTGGGAGGCTGAAGCAAGAGAATGGCATGAACCCAGAAGGCGGAGCTTGCAGTGAGCTGAGATCACACCACTGCACTCCAGCCTGGGCAACAGAGCCAAAAAAAAAAAAAGAAAGAAAGAAAATTAATGTTTCACTAAGCATAATACATCAAATATCTATAAATAAATCTAACAAAAGATATGGAATACTTACACACTGAAAGTTATTAAACATTGCCAGGATAAATTAAAAGAGAACTGAATTTAAAAATAGTTTATTTTCATGCATTGGCAGTCTCAATATTTTTAAGAGGTCATTTCTTTGAAAGTTAATTATAGATTCAATGCAATTCCCATAAAATTCTTTGGGAAAACTGACAAGTTGATTCAAAAACTTATATGGAAATGCACAATATCCAAAATCTTTGAAAAGAGCAAAGTTGAAATTACACTCTCAGATTTCAAGCCTCAGAAGTTAAGTCTAGGCAGCATCAGGATAGATAAAAACACCGATTAAAAAGATGGGAAAATGCTGAAATTGATCCACAGATGTATTGATGAATGAATTGTGGGCTTGGTATACTGATCTCTTTACTTTTTATTTGTTTAAAACTTTCATAGTAAAAACTTGAAAGAAAATAGAATAATTAAAACAAAATAATAACAAAGAGAAAAAACGACTGAGTTGTCATTAAGATGAAGGAATACTACATGAAGGGGTGGACAATGTCCTCAATATTTCTGCAGTAAACTACTAGTAGAGCTTATAAAAAGGCTGTTCAGTAATTTGACAAGGGACCAACTAAGACTCAAGTTTAATCCCTTCCATTTCATGCTAATTTTGTTGTCTTTAGACACAAAATATATTCTAATTCATTCTAGATTGATTGGATTTTAAAGTAATTATGATTGGACACAGTGGCTCATGCTCGCAATCCCAGCACTTTGGGAGGCTGAATTAGATGGATCGCTTGAGCCCAGGAGTTTGAGACCAGCCTGCACAACATAGAGAAACCCCGTCTCTACAAAAAACACACAAAACATTAGCCTGGCATGGTAGTGCACACCTGTAGTCCCAGCTACTCGGGAGGCTGAGGTGGGAGGATCACTTGAGCAGAGGAGGTCAAGGTTGCAGTGAGCCGTGATCAGGCAACTGCACTTCAGCCTGGGCAACAGAGTGAGACCTTGTCTCAAAATAAATAAATGAATAAAATAAAATAATTATAAAATATTATATATCTTCAGATCCCAAAACATCTCATGTATCCAAAAGTCTAACACTGATTAAGAAAACTGAATAACCTCAAAATTTTGCTTCTTTTTTTCTCCAGGTTCATACATACCTGGTTGCTGTGTTTCCCATCTTACTGTAAAGCCTCCCTCATTTCTTAAATGTTCAGAATAGAGATGAAAATAGAGAGCATTGTCACTGCTGAGGAGCTCATCAGGGAGGCTGGAGCCACAAAACCTTCCAAGTTGTAAAGCGGCAGAGGAATCTCCATCATAAACCTGAAGAAACTCGTGTGGACAATTTTCCATGGATTCTAATCGGAAAAAAGTGAAAGTGATACGCAGGACCTAAAAATACAAAGGCCACATATATTATCTTTTACTTCCTTGTGAATTTTAAAGTATTTCTCCCACTTCCTAGGCAGCATTCATACTGAGGCACTTTCAAGAGCTAGATCTATCATTTCCTAGTTATCCACCAGTACAGATGTCAATCTACATATTAAATGACTTGTGCTAAATATCATTAAAAACAAACTTCAACTAATATCGAAATATATAAAAAAATCTTGATGTTATTAACATAGATTTACCCTGATTTCATTACACTTGTCAAGTCCACCAGACCAAGGTATTTCAAATGTATAACGGACATTGTTTTTAAAGCAGTAAAATAAATTGGAGATTTGAAAATCTACCTGAATTAAGTTTAACTGGCTAATATTACCATTCACAAGAATGTACACCCTGACTCCCTGAATAACCTGTGGCCTGTAACAAACACAGAGATGTTCATCACTGCCCGCCAGGGATGTTGATTCCAGAGGGGCTAAGATTCTGATGCCAGCCCAGACCAACACGCTCAGGTGTAGGCGGAGTAGGCAGGATGTAGACATGCAAGGCCTGGAAGGCTTCAGGGACTGGATATAATTAAAAGATGAGTAATACCAGGAGTAGAGAATGAGAAGAAGGTAATAGGAAAAATATTGAGCATACAAGTAGAAGAGAATAAACACAAAAATGTGTCTGAATGGATTAGAATACAGACTTCAAATACAGTAATATAACTTATAATGTACTGACAACCTCATTTGAGATAAACAATCAAAAGAAGGCTGTCAGATTTAATTTTCATCAGAACCTAAAATCACAACAATATTCAGTTAATGAAAAAGAATATCAGGAATTTTTGAAATTCTGTGGTAGGGTATTTTAAGATCAGTTACCTACTACTACATGACTTTCTCTCTTAAAACAGTTTAAACAAAACTCAAATGTTTGTTAATTGAACTATCCCGATTTGTATATATTTTCTACCATATTATGTCCATTATAAGTGAGAAGATAAAAAATCACAATAATCAAGAAAAAAACAAGATGAATTTTCTTACAAATTGGTAACAAAAGTATTACAAGTTTCTCACCTAGAAATATTTTTTTCAAAAGAATGTTTTCAATGCCAGGAAATAGAATTCATGAAAACTAAATGGAAGGAAGGAAATTCACATAGCATACCCACTGGGAAATTTATTTTGAAGTTTATTTTAGTGTGAGGTTACCAGGTCCCAAATAGTCCTCCCTCCTCAAGGGAAAAAAAATGTTTTTTGACCCTTGTACAATGCCCTCTGTAATAGTTTGCTGGAAAAAGTTAATAGGATTTCAAGGGAAAATTTTATCTATTCAGACATACCACTTCATTTTTATGAGTCCAGGAGGTGGTTGAGAAACAATATTTAGAACTGCCTGGGTAATTAATGTTGGGTATAAAAGCACTAAAAACCTTGGACTTGGGTCTTAATTTGAAAAGCGTTCATGCAGCGGCTCAGAGTGACAGGCTTTGGGGAGGTGACTGGCCTGTGTCTGAGTCACTGCATGCCACTTTCGAACCACATGCACCTGGACACACTTCTCAGTGGCACTAGGCTCTGTTTCCTCATGTGCAAAATGAAGATAATAATTTCTATCTTTCAGGGTTATGAAAGTTAAAAATGGAATGCTGTAATGAAGCACTTAGCATAGAACATGGCAGAGCGAAGACATTTGATAAGAAAACTATCTTAATATCAGTGGCTATTTTTGCATAATATTCAACATAATACTGAGTGACCATCTTCTAAAATACTGTCTCAGTAACATGATTTTACAAATTAACTAGTGGCTTGCAGTCAGTCAACCAGTGTAGAGAATCATTCATACCGGAGAAAGCATGGACTTTGGAACCAGATAAACTTGACTTTGAAATTCAACTATTCCAATTACAAGCTAAGAAGTGTTAACAAAAAATGGTTAGCTTCACCTACTTTTCATTATTTCATCTATAAAAGGAGGATTTATTTATTTATTTATTTATGAGACCGAGTCTTGCTCTGTTGCCCAGGCTGGAGTGCAGTGGCACAATCTTGACTCACTGAAACCTCTGCCTCCTGAGGTCAAACGATTCTCCTGCCTCAGCCTCCCAAGTAGCTGAGATTAAAGGCACCCATCACCGCACCTGGCTAATTTTTGTCATTTTAGTAGAGCCAGAGTTTCACCATGTTGGCCAGGCTGGTCTTGAATTCCTGACCTCAGGTGATCTGCCCACCTCAGCCTCGTAAAGTGCTAGGATTACAGGCATGAACCACCAGGCCTGGTCTTGTTACCATTTTTTTTTTTTTTTTTTTTAGATGGAGTCTCACTCTGTTGTCCAGGTTGGAGTATAGTGGCACAATCTCTGCACACTACAAACTCCACCCCCTGGATTCAAGCAATTCTCCTGCCTCAGCCTCCCAAGTAGCTAGGATCACAGGAATGTGCCAATACGTCCAGCTAATTTTTTTTTTGTATTTTTAGTAGAGACACGGTTTCATCATATTGACCAGGCCGGTCTGAAACTCCTGACCTTAGGCGATCCACCCGCCTCAGCCTCTCAAAGTGCTGGGATTACAGGTGAGAGCCACCATGCCCGACCCCTGTTACTTATTTCAAAGAATTAATGTACACTTATAGAAAGGTAGGTATATGTCTAGCCAAAATCCTGGCACTCTGTACTTAGTAAGCACTCAATATATGATAGTTGAATTATCATTGTATGTATTTTATGTAATATATGCACATACTCCATATTTATATATACAAATATAATATGTATTTGGACAGGAGTTACTACATTTACCTTTCCCGTTTCAGTTTTGATAACCCAGAAGCAGTTAACATCATGAACATAACCAACATCCGGGCTCCTGTAGCTGAAGCTTCCATTTATTCCTGACAAGGACTCTCCACAAACTGCAAAGGAAAATATGAACTGTGCTTTTCAGTTTCCTAAAAGGAAGAGGTTGGGCAACTGTAACCCTGCTGCTGATACATTTAGAGAAAATATGAGTAATGAAGGTTGGAGACAAAAGCCCTGTCATTCCCTCTTCTCTGTCCCCTTTTTCTGCAAACTTCCACAGAAATCCCACCTCTTGTTCAAAGCCCAGCTGATGCCTCATCACCTGCTCCCTGAACTGCCGGCCTATGTTTCCACTGATTCCCATTCCCTATGTCCCTGTGACACCCAATTTCACCCCACACAATGTAGCTCATATCTTTAATTCTTGTATCTGTTCTCCCATTGGGGTTGGTCTTGTCTCCTCAACCACAAGGTGAGCAGTTCATAAGTGGAGACAGTATTTTATGCTTTCATATTTCTCCATAGGGTCTACTATTGTCCTAAACATATAACAACCTCCCAATAAATGTGTTGATTCCAAATCAGGAGTCTCAAATGAGGGGCAGAAGAGTCAAAAGTGACTTTATGGAGGAAGTTGAGGGGGAAGTGCTCCTGAGGGACAGACACATCTGGATGAGAAACAGGGAAGACATGTGAGGAGGTTTGTAGGGAGAAACATCCCAAATAAACGAACACAGTGGAAAATACTCATGGTGGCACAGGGGTCTGGTGACGAAAGAAAACTTGCTTGAGTGAAGGTATTTCTAGGGAACTAGTGAAAAATAAGGTTAGATGGATCCAGTGAGACTTGGTTATAGGAGATCATCGAAAAATAATCCCAGTCTCTATTTAACAGGCAACGGGAAGCCACTGTGTATCATGGAAAGGGAGAGTGCCATGATTAAATGCAGTATTCTAGGGAAATTAAGTGGCTGCTCCTCACAAAACTTCCCTTTAGAAAACCATGAAAGACAATACCTTAGCATGCTTTATATTCAAAAAGGGCATAGTGCAAATGGCAAATACTAATTTAATTATTCTTTGGAAGAAAAGTGCCTGGCTTACAGTGAGATTTATAAATATTCACCTTGTGAATTGTATACCATTTCTGCAAGGAAAGATTTAGTTCTCAGTATCTGAGCAACTGGACAAAAAAGTGGGTTCAGCAGAGGAATCCGCTGAGGGACTCACTAAAGGATGCTGCTGTTATGCTGTGAGCATCTGTGGCATAAGAAATGCTGACTGTACCTTGCTGGGGAACCTGACAGAGAGGTCCAGTCCAGAGACGTGTGCATTCACAACTGAAAGAATTAACGCCATCAACACAAGTTCCTCCATTCACACAGGGGTTGCTCAAACACTCGTTGATGTTTTCTGTACAGTTGACACCTGTCCAACCTGAGTCACACTGACAAAAATAACCAGAGACTGTGTCCTAAGGAAAAAAAACACATAATACCATAAAACAAATGGATAGACAATAAACTTGAATCAATCCAAATAAGTAGGCTGTGTGCCGATGAGATTATTATATATATTATATATATATTATTATATATATAATATAATAGATAAGATATTAATTGATATGATGATATATAATATTATAAATATATAATAATTATAAATATATAATTTTTATATGGTGAATATTACATAATTTATTTATTTTATTATTATATTATAATATAATTATTATAAATATATAATTCATATATCAATATGAAATGTACTATAAATATAAACTATATAAAATATAAAATATGAAATATACCAAATAATTGAAATGAGTTCGCTCTGGTCACCCCCAGCTGAAGGCAGGTGGTGTGATCTCAGCTGTCACTGCAACCTCCACCTCCCGAGTTCAAGTGATTTTCCTGTCTCAGCCTCCTGAGTAACTGGGATTACAGGCACGTGCCACCATGCCTGGCTAACATTTTTTTAGTAGAGATGGGGTTTCACCATGTTGGTCAGGCTGGTCTCAAACTCCTGGCTCGTGATCCACCCACCTCAGCCTCCCAAAATGCTGGGATTACAGGTGTGAGCCACCATGCCTGGCCTATTGATATATTTAACAGGTGCTACAAATATATATGTATTTATATATAGGTATTGTCTAGTAGTCTAACTTGTTATTAATAAGTTTAAATGGTAATTGTTAAGTATAAGTCAGATTTATTTAGATCAAACTGCAGGTGTAGTTTAGTATTTCATAAACCACTGAGACAAAAAATTAACTCAATGTTTTTTCCTGAGAACTAAAATCATTATCTATCTTTTATCTGAGAGTTCTCCACAGTTCCTTATCTGAAACTTGACTCATTATCTTAACATTCCTGAATCCTATAACGATACATTTTATAGGCATGAAACTAAAATTATTCTCAGGTACTCTCTGTCCACAGGAAGAACAAAGGACTTACGATGCATTGTCCATTTAGGCAGGGGTGACTTAGGCAAATATTACTGAGCTGCACACATCCATTTGGCCCATAACCATTTCCAGTATAACCCGGGAGACACGTGCAGAAAGGTAAGGATCCTGTTCAGAAATAAAAACAAACGTGTAAATACAGTTCTCCTCTTCTGTTCAGATGCAGCATCTAAACTCAGAATATGCTGTATAAACAAGGATCCACCAACATCCAGTCTGCATATTTTGACGGGCAGATAAAACAAGGTATGAGGAGAAAATATTAGAATCTTTATTTTTTTATTTCTTATCTTAAAATAAGAAAGCCATTAAATGCAGTCAATACATTATTGAAGTATTGGGTTGACATCAGTGCTGTCAGCCCATATGTTAGATGGTCCTGAGCTGTGCATAAAGGTGAGGGGCACCTGGGGAAGACAGACATTCCTCATCATGGAGGAGTTAACAGCAGAAAAGGAGATTCTTAGGATGAAACTTATCTGTTGCAAGCACTGGATTTACACTGATTTAATCCTCTCAAGAACCCAATAGAGGGCTGGGTGCAGTGGCTCACACCTGTAATCCCAGCACTTTGGGAGACTGAGGTGGGCAGATCACTTGCGTTCAGGAGTTAGAGACCAGCCTGGCCAACATAGAGAAATCCTGTCTCTACTAAAAATACAAAACTTAGCTGGGTGTGGTGGCGCACGCCTATAATCCCAGCTACTTGGGAGGGTGAGGCAGGAGAATCACTTGAACCCGGGAGGCAGAGGTTGCAGTGAGCTGAGAGAGCGCCACTGCACTCCAGCCTGGGTGACAGAATGAGACTCCATTTCCAAAAAAAAAAATTTTTTAATAATAATAATAATAATAAAGAGCACGATGGAATCTGTATTCCCAGCACTTTGGGAGGCCGAGACAGGCAGATCACTTGAGGTCATGAGTTTGACCTGGCCAACACGGTGAAGCCCTGTCTCTACTAAAAATACAAACCAATTAGCTGGGCATGGTGGCCTGTAGTCCAAGCTAATCAGGAGGCTGAGGCAGGCAGATCACTTGAGGTCATGAGTTTGACCTGGCCAACACGGTGAAGCTCTGTCTCTACTAAAAATACAAACCAATTAGCTGGGCATGGTGGCCTGTAGTCCAAGCTAATCAGGAGGCTGAGGCAGAAGAATTGCTTGAACCCAGGAGGTGGAGGTTGCAGTGAGCCAAGATCCCGCCACTGCACTCCAGCCTGGGCGATAGAGCAAGACTCCATCTCAACAACAACAACAACAAAAAGGCCTATGTAGATATTCTTTTATAATCCCCATTTCATAGATGAAGCCAGAGCACAGACAGACTGTCCTGGCCAAGGACAAACAGCTAGAATGAAGAGGAGCCCAGAGAGCAAGCAGCCCCCTCATGTGTAGGGTGCCTATGGCACATCTGCACGGGCGTGTAGCTTACATGGACAGGCCACATTTCCCCAGTTATCTGGACGTGCAGATTGTACGCTGCCAGGTGGTTTTTGTTTGTTTGTTTCTTTCTTTTTTGTTTTTTTTTCTTTTGAGACAGAGTCTCGCTCTGTTGCCCAGGCTGGAGTGCAGTGGTGTGATCTTGGCTCACTACAAGCTCTACCTCCCAGGTTCTCACCATTCTCCCGCCTCAGCCTCCCAAGTAGCTGGGACTACATGCACCTGCCACCACGTCCGGCTAATTTTTTGTGTTTTTTAGTAGAGACGGGGTTTCACCATGTTAGCCAGGATGGTCTCCATCTGCTGACCTCGTGATCCACCTGCCTCAGCCTCCCAAAGTGCTGGGATTACAGGTGTGAGCCACCGCACCCGGCCCGTATGCTGCCAGTTTTAAACAGGCTAAATAGCCATCAGAGAATGAACTCAAGTCTCTAAAAGATGTTTGCAATAAAATCACAGATTGAAGATAATACAGTAACATAAATATATGGGGACATCAACCAAATACCAGTGCCAAAACTTCTCCCACACTTCTGATGAGCTCCTCATCACCATGGTACAAGGTTAAAACAATGGCAATCGAATTGGGTTGGGAAGGAACTTGGTTGAAAGGAATTTGAAATGATTGAGTCTATTTAAAACATGAATTAACATCCACGATTAATTATGATGTACATGAGATAATAGCTAACAATAGTATTAGAGCATTCAGTGTCTTGACAGTTTTCTTACACGATGTTAAGTAAAAAAATACTCATCATAGACATCACAAAATTGTACTAAATTTAATATCCAGAGACTTTTCCAGATTTCTCACTTAATAGCAAAAAGCCACATCTCATTGCAGAAATATATGTTCGTTCTACTATATTGTACAATGGTTGAAATAATACAAGGAAATCAATGTGGCACTTAACTACATTTCTCCATCAGCAAGAACTGTTTAAGATGAATAGAAAAACCCTGCTGAATAATTTAGAAAATAGAACAAATTATACAATGTGACAGATTTACAGTAGAATTGAATGACAATATAAGTTTTTTATATTCTCAGCTTATATTACTTGCAAGATTCCATTTCAATATTAAAAACACAAATATCTTTTTTAAATAAAGAATTGCCTAGAAATGCATTTTTTATAGTTAACTACTTCTTTTAAAAATATTTGGGCCAGGCACGGTGGCTCATGCCTATAATCCCAGCACTTTGGGAGGCCGAGACGGGCGGATCACTTGAGGTCAGGAGTTCGAGAGCAGTCTGGCCAACATGGTAAAACCCTGTCTCTACTAAAAATACAAAAATTAGCCAGGTGTGGCAGCACGTGGCTGTAGTCCCAGCTACTCAGGAGGCTGAGGTGGGAGAATTGCTTCAACCCGGGAGATGGAGTTTGCAGTGAGCCGAGATCATGCCATTGCACTCCAGCCTGGGTGACAAAGCGAGACTCCAACTCAAAAAAAAAAAAAAAAAGAAGGAAAGAAAAAGAAAAAAATATATTTATAGGGAAAAATGGACTAAGTAAGCTCTAAAACTGTTGCAGCTCTGCCTAGAAATTTTTTAAGGTTCCCAGGGTGAGCTTACAGGTTGCAGTAAAGAAAGGCAGCCTAAAAGTACATAAAGTGCTATTAATACTTCATGTCATCAACATTATGACCGTCTTCCATATTAAAGAAAGAGTTGTTTGTAATAATATTTGTTACAAGCACTTTACATATAAGGACTCATTTAATCATCTCAAGCACCCTGAGGCAGGTGCTATTATTATCCTCATTTTATAGATGGAGAGCTAAAGCATAGAGATTAAGTGTCTTGACTGAGGACAAGCAGCTAAAATATGGTGGAGCCCAGGGAAAAATGAGAGCAGTCTTTATCTAGAAGTCATGCTCCTAACCACTTTGGTATGTTGATAATCAATTAATAAGCATTTAGTCACACGTATGTGTGTGTGTGTGTTTACATACACATATATATTCTTTTCTATATATGAAAGTATATGACAAATTAATAAAAAATAAAGGTGGTATCTTGAAATAGCAAGAGATACGATTATTCAAGAGATGGAGTTGGGTCCACTTATTTGAGCAAAAATACCAAGCCAGATCTCTATTTGATGCTATAGATAAAAAATACATCCTAAAAATATAAAATATCTTACCATAAGGAAACCCATAAAAGTATAAAAGAACATGTACTTGACAATTTTTAAAGAGTTCAGTAAAGAAGGCCTTCCTAAACATGACTGTGAAGGCAGAAATTATTAGAGAAAAGATTTATCTTTTTGACTACATAACAATCCTAAACTTTACAGAAAATACCACCACAAGATTAAAAGAAAAACAACATAGCAGGAAAAACATTTATAAAACATAAGACATATAATGAGATAATGTCTTTAGTATATAAAGAGATTTTGCCAATCAGTAAGAAAGAAAGAGAGTAAAGGGGATGAACAAATAAAAAAATGCCCAGTGAAAATGTGGAAAATATTAATTATTAGTAATCAAAAAGTATAAATGAAAATAATGGAAAAACTAATTTTGCCTATAAAACTGACCAAGATTAAAAATAATAATAATATCTATTATTGTCAAAGAGTAAATATGTATTTTTATATACTGTCGGTGAATACATACATTGATACAACCTTTCTTGGAGAAAGTTCAGCAGTATATATTTTGTTAAATTACAGGGTTAAACCCTTTTATGTAGTATTGCAAACACTGTTGGTTGCCACCCTAGATCCATTCTCTCCTTCCTTCATTCTGAACTCCTCATTTCAGCTGGACTCAGGATGCCCGAAATATAGACTGTACTTCCTAACCTCCCTTTGCAGCCAGGTTTAGCCAGTCGGCTCAGTTCTAAGCAACAGCCTAGAAACGGAAGAGTCCTTTAAAAGAAGGTGGCATAGCCTTCTTCCTTCTTTTCTCCTGCCTGCTTGTTGGAATACAGTCATTAATTAATTAGTTGGCTTAATTACCTTATTTCCTAAATTAGAGCAGACCATTAAAGAGCATAGCTTATTACATTTTTAAGAAATCCGGCCAGGTGCAGTGGCTCATGCCTGCAATTCCAGCACTTTAGGAGGCTGAGGCGGGCAGATCATGAGGTCAGGAGATCAAGACCACCCTGGCTAACACAGTGAAACCCCGTCTCTACTAAAAATACAAAAAATTAGCCGGGTGTGGTGGCGGGCGCCTGTGGTCCCAGCTACCCAGGAGGCTGAGGCAGGAGAATGCGTGAGCCCGGGAGGCAGAGCTTGCAGTGAGCCGAGATTGCACCACTGCACTCCAGCCTGGGCAACAGAGCGAGACTCCGTCTCGAAACAAACAAAAAAAAGAAACTCAAACATGTAGTTTCATGACATGGATTAATTTTAGGCTTGAAGGTCAAAATAATAATTTTGAGAACAGAGGATTTTGTGTGTAAGATGTTGAATTGGTTTAGAGGGTCTTATTACAATGCCCAAAGCCAAAGAGAGAAATGAGTCATTACCTAGAGTTGAGGAGCATGAGGCATCTGGGTGGCAGCCTCCATTACCGACTGAGCAGATGTCTATGAGTGTGCACACTCTTCCGTCACCCTGGTACCCTGATGAGAACAAGAGCCAGGGCATAAGAAACAATGTCAAAAAGATGGGAGGACAATGCCTGTCTAGGATTCAAATATCATGAAACAGACCAATCAGGGATCCTCTCTCATCAAAACAAAAAATATAAGTCTAAAATGTCATCAACAAATGAAATTTCATAAATATGAAAAATAACAAGAATTAGTAACTTGATTTCCTAAACAATGTTCTGGGTTGTTTCTAATGAAAAAATATGTATAAAACTGCTGGTTGACTTAGAAAGTGCTGACACTAAAAAAGTTAATATTTTTACGTTACAGTGACTCTGATGTTCTTAGACGTCAATTATTATAGCAGCCCAAAGTACTGTAGTTCCATGTTATTAAAACATACAAGATTTCAGTTTATCCCTTAGTACTCCCTGAACTTCTTGGATAGTAATTTGATTTAGGTTAGAGAATAGCAGAAAAGACTTCTTTCCAGAAAAGGAGGGAAACCAACAATTACTAAATATGCCTACTGTGATGCCTGTGGTTTAGTAAACTTGGTATACAAAACAACTCAGGAGTGCACGACATTAATAAATTATTCGTGAGGGCAATGGAACAGTAAGTCTGTGATCCACTCAGAAAACTTTTCAAATTCTGCATTATCTCTGTAGCTATCTGACAGTTTGTAAAGTTTGTTGTTTTCCATTGATATTCAAAATGTTTTTTGTTTCTTATCAGAGTGTTATACTAATGTGTCCTGAATTCACAAGATAAACAAAACTTTCTGTACTATTTTCTCTCCTAAGACAAAAATCATATTTTATTTTTTATTTTTTTAAGATGGAGTCTCACTCTGTTGCCCAGGCTGGAGTGCAGTGGCGCAATCTCAGCTCACTGCAACTTCCGCTTCCCAGGTTCAAGTGATTCTTGTGCTTCAGCCTCCCAAGTAGCTGGGATTACAAGCACGCGCCACCACGCCCAGCTAATTTTGTATTTTTAGTAGAAAGTAGAAATTTTTAGTTTGGCCAGGGTGGTCTCGAACTCCTGACCTCATGTGATCCACCCACCTCAGCCTCCCAAAGTGCCGGGATTACAGGCATGAGCGACTGCGCTCAGCCAGAAATCATATTTTAAATGGAGCACAAGATTGCATATTCAAATGTCTGTGTTCCCTGTACTGGGGTCAGGAGGTTGACACTGAACTGAGGCAGCACCTGGTGGACAGGCCTGACAGTGGGAAGACCCAGGTGTATTCACACACTCAACAAGTGGAGCCACAGAACAGCCGCCGTTATTTATCTCACATTCATTGATATCTTCGCAAACATGTCCATTGCCTTGCCAGCCTAGAAAAACAAGAAGATTCAACAGTTTAGCTCTATAGACAAGTCAACAAGGAAGAAATACAAGTCAAAACATGTAAGAACTTTCTCTACCTAAGGAACTATAAAATAAAAATGAGGTATGCTTATCAGATTGGCAAAAGTTGTTTTGAATTCTTAAAATCAAATTCTGGCAACAAAGTGGGCAAATGGGCTCCTCTTATAAGCTGATAGTTACACATTAAATTGATATAACCTATTTGAAAAGAGCTCTGGCTGTATTCACTAACATTTTTTAAATACACAGACCTTGACTACCAATTGCACTTATTAAAACTCAGCCTATTGTGATAAAACTACCACCACACTAAGATGTAGGTAAGAGGATGTCTACTGCAGCGCTGTTTAATTGGGAAAAACCCCTCAAGCATCAATAGAAGCATAGCCGAACACCTTATGACTCATCTTTGTGACCGAACACTAAAAACACTTTTTAATATCATGCGCACACCTATATACCTACATGTGCATACACACAAACACTGAAAGAATTTTTATATATACATTAAATAAAAGACTAAACGTGGCTGAGCAAGGTGGTTCTCATGCCTGTAATCCCAGCAGTTTGGGAGGCTGAGGTGGGCAGATCACCTGAGGCCAGGAGTTCAAGACCAGCCTGGCCAACATGGTGAAACCCTATCTGTACTAAAAACACAAAAATTAGCTGGACGTGGTGGTGCACCCCTGGAGTCCCAGCTACTTGGGAGGCTGAGGCAGGAGAATCCCTCAAACCCGGAAGGTAGAGGTTGCAGTGAGCCAAGATTGCACCACTGCACTCTGGCCTGGGCGACAGAGCAAGACTCTGTCTCAAAAACAAAAACAAAAAGAAACTAACTGTTAAAATCATATGGAGGATTGGGCTCATATTCCTAATTTTGGGAAATAATTATGTGCTTGTACGAATGAAGAATAAGGTAAAAGAGGAAGGAGAACAAATGACTAATGGTGTCATTAGGAAGATGAGATTTAATAATTTTACTTTAGTGGTTCCCATTTTATTCAATGGTTGTAGATTTGTATTACTTTTATAATTCAAATTATTACAATTATAAGAATCCTTAAAAACCTTTAAAGACTTAAAAATATTTATATTCTTTAATTTAAGCAGAATCCTCTTCTAAGACTCTACCTAAGAAAATTATCATATTAGTGCATGGCAAAATGCATACATGAAAAAAGTTGGAAGAAAAAAATGCCCGAATGTTCATCATGGTCCTCTGTGTGATAAGATCAAAGGTATTTTTTTCTATTTTTTCCGTATTTTTGTAGTGATATTTTATAAGCAGCATATATTGCTTTGCTGCTTATAAAATGTAACTGCTATATATTGCAGGAAAAATAGAGTGATAAACAAGAACAAAATTGTTTCTCTTTTTCTTCTCCAACAATAAAAAGAAGAATGTAAAAACACATTGCCAATCCTCTAATTTAAATAATTTATTTTTCCGATTTATAGTTTTTAAAGATTGCGCATGATAAATTACCTTCAAAATGTGATTGCTTGCAAATCACGCTTGCCCCTGAGAACTAAGAGGGAAAAAGTCTTCATAGGTTTTTCTCCATTTCTTTCCAGTTTTACAAGATCTAAATATATACACGCAGAAAACCACTAAACCAAAAATCACTACCTGGGCAATAGGTTTGTGGGGTTTCTTGGAGAAAGAAACTCGCCAAGAAACTTGGGTTTCAATTCTGGCTATCTGTAAAGCTATGTGATCTTGGGCAAGTTATTCAACCTCTTTAAGCTCAAGTTATCATATTTTAAAATGTGAGTAATACTTATTCTTACCACGTCTTGGTTTTGTTGTAGTTAAAAGAATTAAAAATTACTTATACAGTGCCTTAATAACACTTTTACTAAAAATAAAAAGCAGGCCGTGCGTGGTGGCTCACGCCTGTAATCCCAGCACTTTTGGAGGCCAAGGTGGGCAGATCACTTGAGGCCAGGAGTTTGAGACCAGCCTGGCCAACATGGCAAACCCCGTCTCTACTAAAACTACAAAAATTAGCTGGGCATGGTGGCTTGCGCCCGTAATCCCAGCTACTCGGGAGGCTGAGGCAGGAGAATTGCTTGAACCCAGGAGGTAGAGGTTGCAGTGAGCTGAGATCATGCCACTGTACTCCAGCCTGGGTGACAGGGAGAGACTCTGTCTCAAAACAATAACAAAAACAAAGCAAAAGAAAACCAGCTACTATTATTACATTATCTTTGTGCTCCATTTCTAAGAACACCCCTGGAGTGTAGATAAACCTGAGGTCTGGCTAATTGCCTACCAATGCACCCAGCACAGTGCTTTGCTCGCAGTAGGCATCCTACAAAAAAATATGTGTGGAATGTATGATGACTATCTCATAGAACAAAAGATGCCCTTGGATTCAAACCCAGGCAGTCTTTGACTAACAGAGCCCACGTTTTCCATGACTCAACATCCGGTGTCCCTAGAGATTCAGTTGCTGCAGGGCTGTGATGGAGCTGGATATCTCTGTTTACGTCAAGTCCACAAGATACGCTAATGACACACCCAGGCAAGAGCTACTGGACTGTGGTGGAGATGGAAAGAGGTCAAATAATTTCCCCATGTGTACAAACATCTGGTTAGTATGAAAGGTGGGACTAGAGTATTTCTTTTGATCTCAAATCCGGTCGGTTGACGGTCACTGCAATGCATTGTCTAACTTACAAATTCTATGGCTAACCTTGCCCCAAAGTCTGACTCTAGCACAGTTTTGGACAAGCCTCCCCCTTCTGTCGTGGAATTGTGATAGCAGTGAGATTGTCGAGCAGAAGCTAGTGAACCAGGACACAAAACTGGATTTGAACACCTCCTAAGAATGGTCTTCTTACTCATCAATAGTGAAAGAAAATTGATTCTAGCACCTCGCCAACCTGGCATGCAGAGCCTGGCATGTGGCCCTGAGAACGTACCTGTTGGGCAGGCCCCACAATAGAAAGAGCCTAGAGTATTGAAACACTGCACAAGTGTGGAGCAAGGCCCGGGCTGGAAGCTGCACTCGTCTCTGTCCAGCGTGCAGGCAGGGCTGTTTGGTGGAGACATCCACCCAGCATCACAGATGCAGCTGTACTTGGGCTGGCAGGATGACAACAGCATGAATAAAGACAATCATGAAAATCAGCAAGAAAAGCCTTTGAACATTTCATCAAGCCCCAAGCTGTTTATCCTCTAACGTTCATTTCCATACAGCCAATCCACTGGCTTCTCTTTTCTTTCCCATATGATTAAGCATTTAGACCAGACCATGCAAAAAGGGAAACATCTTTATTTCAGAGTAAAAGCAAGCTATAATTTCTCCCAAAGATGCCAGGGAAAGAGTAACAACAATCAAGAACCGTAAGTCAATATAATTAAAGTCAATCAACTCAGCCTGCTATGTTTTTAGAGAGGAAAACACCCATGTAGGCACAGACCTTGGAAACTCAATTCTGTTTGTTTTTCTTTGGAAAATTCTTCCTCCTACCCGCCTCCTCAACCCTTCCATCCCCATCATTGGATGGGAACTATTTTCCATCACATGGGTAGAAAAAATAGAACTAAAAATAAAGAATTGAAGTTCTCATGAAGAGCCAAGCCAGCCAAGACTGGACAACTTTAAGGGTCAGGGGTCAAAGTCATCAGGACTTAGGGCATGGAGGGGTATTCTGGGGAGTGGGCTCTTAGAGTCTGCAGCAGTTCCAGAGACTCAGGTCAGGAAAAGTCAGACTCTTTGAAACCACATGTTGCCAACAAGACTGGTCCTTTTATATTCCTGTGTTTTGTCACTGTTAAAATAAAACTTACAAGGCCAAGAGAAGGTCTTATCTCAGAGAGAGTCATGACGGGATAATAAAAATGGTTCTATTTCTGCTGGGTGTGGTGGCTCATGCCTGTAATTGCAGCACTTTGGGCGGCTGAGGTGGGTGGACCACTTGAGGCCTGGAGTTCGAGACCATCCTGGCCAACATGGCAAAACCCCATGTCTACTAAAAATACCAAAATTAGCCAGGCATGTTGGCATGTTCCTGTAATCCCAGCTACTCAGGAGGCTGAGGCATGAGAATTGAATTGCTTGAACCAGGGAGGTGAAGGTTGCAGTGAGCTGAGATCGTGCCACTGCACTCTAGCCTGGGTGACAGAGTGAGGTCCGCCTCAAAAAAAAAAAAAAAAAAAAAAGGTCCTATTTTACATAATGACATCTTAATCTCTGGGTCCTATTTCCTGCACGGTTCATCTCCCCTCCTCACCTACGTCCCACTTACAGGCAGGAAGTGACTTCACCTCTGCAAGCTCCAGGCAGTGCTTGTTTACAGTGGGCATAGGAGGAGGAGGAGCTACTAACCATGGCTCTCTGCAAGGAGGCACATTTAGGGAAGGGACCCACCTCTCCAGCTTGCTCACGGACTAAATCCTCACAGATGCCATGGACACAGCGTGTCACAGAACCCCCTTCACAGTCATTGTATTTGGAGGCACACTGCGGTCCGTACGTCTCAGGTGGGCAGTGACAACTGTTGGTTACACAAGAGCACAGTGTAAGGGCTTGTGCTTTGGGGCCAGTGCCTGTCTCTTAATATCAGTGAGGAAAATAATTCAAATTACAAATCAACGATGTTAACATGGAATCATAAGCCAGAAATGCAAATTTACTGACTGGAGTCTTGGGAGAAAATCGCTCTGCTCTGCTCCAAGTGGTGGATTGAGTAAATACAATGTTAGAGAATCACAACTTATCACCTGGTAAGCCTAGCACTATAAATTCTTGTGTTATCAGGTCATCAAACAGCATTTTCAAAGGTCAGATGTGTATCAGCCAAAGGTAATAGAGTTAGTTCAAGAAGGTAAAGGGAGAGATCAGCAAATCCATTCATCATCTGTCCAATTGGACCTGCCACGAAGCACAGGCAATGTGGGCTACACTGATAACTCCCAAATGCTCCCTAGGATTATATGACCCCACACGCAACCCAGTGTCCACACCCCACAGTCTATGATCGTTATTATTATATTACAAAGGGCAATATGTCTTCTATCCGTAAAAAGTGTAGTTATATAATATAACACAGTGACATTCTTTCATAGGCACATTTGAATTTCCAACAAAATGTGGTAATTATTACATTATGCCGAAGCTAGCAGTGGGCGCTTTTTTACTAGAAGATTTTAGTCCAATAATAATCAAATAAGCAATGTTGTTTTAAACCCTTGTCATTGTTAAAGCTGCTTTAGCCTTATTTTTGCAGCTTAATGGGAATGTCTATGGTCTGAGTATGGGAGCTGGGGGACGAGGAGGGAAGAGGAGTCCCAGAAGCCTAAGCCTATCTGCACGTGCCTGGGCACATCTGATGAGAGGGAGGGCCAGGCCCAGAGGTTGCCAATTGCTGGACTCAAGCAGAATTGGCAAGAAAAGCTCTCATGGGGGAAATGACTGATGGTGCCAGCAGTCAGAGACAAGGAACACGGAGCGCCTGCATGGCCAGGCCTCCCTCCCATGCCATTCTACAAAGGAGAAGAGCTCTTTCAACAAGACACAGTAAGGTACAAGCAGCTTAGTAATGTCCATGGATGACAATGTATGAATGACAGTGTGGGAAATTAGCATCTGACTGTTTGAAAGGCATCAAGAACCAAACTCCAGGCACAGGATTCAGCTTGCCCGTGGTGGGCCCCAGAAGCAATTGCTGGGTGGCAGCTTTTTGGCAGTTTCTAAGGAAGGGGAGAGCAATGAGTGTGGCCAGAGATGGAGAGTAAGAATGCGGGGAACATCATCCATGCACTCATGTCGGGAGGCCAGACTTAGCAAATAAAAATACAGCAAGCCCAATTAAATGTGAGTTTCCAATAAATGAATATTTTTTGGTATAAATATGTTCCATGCAATTTACAACATCAGTACATATTTACATAAAAGCTGCTTCATTAATACATGACATTTCTGAGCATTCCAAAGTTGCCTTTCTCATTAAGATAAAGCCATAGGAAAATAACCATAAATGATTAAACTTAAGGAGAAATTGAATTATCCATCGCCACCCATAGCCATTTATCTTCCCTTCATCTCTCTCTATTTTCCTTCTCACATTGTTTTCTTTCCTCTTTGTCCCCATCTTTACATAGAATATTTGTACAGACAATTTAATTAGACTCTTGAGGATTATGGAACTTTAAAACAGTTCAGACACATATTTGAGCATTTGATCCAGGAGGCTTCACTACTAACAGTTTATTTCGCCACCAGTCCCAACACCTGCCAAAAATGCTTGAGAATCTTTTTATTATTTTTTTTTTTTTATTTTTTTGAGATGAAGTCTCACTCTGTCACCTAGGCTGGAGTGCAGTGGCGCGATCTCAGCTCACTGCAACCTCTGCCTCCCAGGTTCAAGCAATTCTCCTGCTTCAGCCTCCCAAGTAGCTGAGACCACAAGTGTGTGCCACCACACTTGGCTAATTTTTTATTTTTATTTTTTAGTAGAGATGGAGTTTCACCACGCTGGCGAAGCCAACTGATTAATTACTGATTTAGCAGACGTCTCTTTGCTAGAAGTAGAGGCTGGTCTCGAACTCCTGACCTCAGGTGATCCACCCACCTTGGCTTCCCAAAGTGTGGGGATTACAGGCGTGAGCCACTGCGCCCTGCCGAAGAATTTTTAAACCAACTGTTACTAGCTTTCTATTTTCTGTATCTGGGAGATCTGAGTGTTTGGGAACCCCTGGGATAAGGCTGCCTAGGTTTAAATTTTGGTCCTTCCTGTTAACTGTTCACCCATACAAAGTACTAACTCCCTCTGCCTCGGTTTCTTATGGAATAATACTGGTAATCTCTGTGAACTATGGTCATATTGCAGTCTAAAGGCATTCCCCTGTAGGAAGTGCTAAGAAGACTGTCTTTATTTTATCACTAAGTGCTTAACTATTGCAAAATGATGCAAGATTTGAGAGGAGATTCTGGTTCATGGACCTGCAGTTAAATCCTTTCTCTTTATCTCTCTCTTCCTTCATCCTTGCTATTATCACTGGGAGATGTGTAGGCATTAATCCTATACTGTTATCTAAATAGCTACAAAGTACACTTCTTTCTTTTAAGTTTAGATGATGTGAGGAGACAGAGAAAGGGAGGAAGAAAGTCAAGTAAACCATAGGATTTCTTGAAATGATCCTCCAAGACAAGTATTATTAATCCCATTTTACAGACTAACATTTCCCAAAACCACAAAATGAGTAATTGGCAGAAGATAATTAGACACTTAGGTCTACTTGACTCCTGCACCACTGTTTCTGCATGTTACATTCCTACATTCTGGTAAGTAGAGTTATATGAAGATGCTGCATTTTTATGCAGCGTTTTGTTTTGTTTTGTTTTGAGACAGGGTCTTGTGCCCAGGCTGGAGTGCAGTGGTGCGATCTCAGCTCACTGCAACATCTGCCTCCCAGGTTCAAGCGGTCTTCCCACCTCTGCCTCTCAAGTAGCTGGGACTACAGATGCATGCCAGCATGTCGGCTAAGCTTTGTATTTTTTGGTAGAGACAGGGTTTCACCATGTTAGCAAGGCTGGTCTTGAACTCCTGACATCAGGTGATCCATCCACCTTGGCTTCCCAAAATGCCAAGATTACAGGCGTGAGCCACCGTGCCCAGCCTTATGTGCCTTGTTAACATAACAGGGTTTACAGGCAAAATATACTCTCAAAGTGTGTTGATATGGCCTTTAAAAAATGAACAATTACTTAGATACCTCCCTAAGTGAAAATAAAAGCGATATATTGTATTTTTAAAACCAACTTACTACTATCCCTGCTATAGTTATTAGTTACTGGTTTAGCAGAAGTGTCTTTTCTAATGACTTTTTATTACCGACTTGCTTCCAGCAGAACAAAGCTAGGCTTTTCTTTGAAAACACTGCAAGTGCATTTTGGCAATTGAGAAGAGGTTTAACACACTTTGATAGTCACAGTTTAACTTGTGTTGAGTCCATGGTTCAATACTAATTTTACTGACGGACTGAAAAAGGTAATAAGTTTAATACCTAACTACCACCTGAGCTAAAACCAGATTATCCTCATTTTTTAAGCCCCGTATGATGTAAAATCTACCAGTGATATGAATGGAAATAAATGAAATAAAATGTACTAATCATCACGTTTCTGGAAAACCAGACAAACTCAACTTTTTGTTTTTCTGGAAAGCCTTCTAGATCTGAGCCCTAAATGTACAACACACACCATCCATGCATGGCAAGTTCAGATTCTAAGGGCTGTGTTAAATCCAAAGTAAGCAGGGGAGGCCAGGCGTGGTAGCTCACACCTGTAATCCCAGCAGTATGGGAGGCTGAGGCGGGCAGATCACCTGAGATCAGGAATTTGAGACCAGCCTGGCCAACATGGTGAAACACTGTCTCTGCTAAAAATACAAAACTTAGCCAGATGTAGTGTCAGGTGCCTGTAATCCCAGCGACTCGGGCCGCTGAGGTAGGAGAATCGTTTGTCCCCAGGAGGCGGAGGTTGCAGCCATTGCACTCCAGCCTGGGTGACAAAACGCGACTCCGTCTCAAAAACAAACAAACAAACAAATAATACATAACAAAGTAAGCAGGGAAACAATAAGAATCAAGTCTTCACAACAAAGAGGCAGTAACAGCATGGAGAAGTCACGAAATATCATTGTGTTAGTTGTCTGAAGCTTTGGGTCTAGACCTCAAGCCAAAAGAATCAGTGGAAACAGAAAATGATGTTTCTTGTGCTATAATCATTGTTCTAAAAAAGAATTTCTACCAGAAGTTTACCTATGAAACAGGTATGAAACATGGCTTCCCATGAATGAGTATTTGCACCTTTTCAGAGGTCTTTACAATGGCAAAGTATTAATCCAGTTAAAGACTCCTTTTTCCGTCCAAGTAAAAGAGCTCAAAGAGTTAAAGAAACTGAAGGAGGTTCAAACTCCAAAGTGAACTTCGATGGCATGACTACATTTTTGCAGGTCCAGATGATTCTGAGGCTCAAGTTTTCTTTTAGCTGATGTGTGTTGAAGTTTCCCAAAGGGTTTTCTAGCCTCAGTGAAATTCCTGATTAACAAGGATTTAACCTCACATAATTAACAGAACTCAAGAAAGAATCTAAATGTCCACTTGTTTCATTACACGTGGATTACACAAAGCAATAATTTAATCTTAGGCTCATGCACCTTTTTTAATTTTCTTTTATTCCCTCAAAAAGTCTCCAACATATGCCTGAATTAGGGGATTTAAAGTGTAGATAATGAAATGGGATTCATGGGGTTTCAGAAACTATTCCCTTACCAAGAGAAAGAAACCTGATTTAAATGCTCTGTTCTCTAATGTCCTCCAGCAAATCTATGAAGGGCAGAGACTAGGAATCAAGATCATTCCAAAGCCATCCACACATCATCAGTTCTTCTGCATTCTTGCTGTCCTTTACAAAAGAGTGCAAGACAGAATTTGGTACTGCTCTTGCAAAGTTGAATCTGTCATTTAGAAATGCAGCTTTCAACAAATAAACGGTTCCTTCCCTCCCAGCTCTCATTCCATCATATGTATGTGTCTGGATAAAGAACTCTAACCTCTGACATGCTGCAAAGAGTGGTGAATAGTAAAAGGGTTTTTGTTTTGTTTTTAATTTTGCAGGGGGGAAAAAAATAATATGCTGAAAACAGCAACAGCAACAACTTTCGCTTGTTCTATGGATCTCATCGCAGTTTGCCGATACTTGTCTCTCTATTGGCCCACAAGACTCCAAAAGACAGTGACGATAAAGGAAGACCAGGAGTGAAATCTAACCTCCATGACATTCCTAGATATCAGGAAGGTCAGAAAGCAGAAGTTCTAGAAGCCTGGACATTTGCCACCGATACCTCTACATAGCAATCCTCCTTATAAATGCCCATAAACGGAAATCAGGAGACAATGGCTTCAAGGAAATGAAAGACTAGACTGCATTTTGCTTCCAACCCAAGCCTAATAAAAGCAGGGAAAAGAGGCTTCATTTAAATGAGTAACGGAGTCCTGGAAGCAAAAAGCTCTTTAATAACATAATACTAAATTTAAGTCAGAAGTGGTTAATTTTAGTTTTGCATAATGATTGAACTCATAGACATATCTAATAGAAGTCTGAATGATTTGAGTTTACAACCTGGAATGAGTAAAAGTTTTAAAGATCAGATCAAAAAACAAAAGTATCAATAAAAAGAGAAGGCGTGTGACTGCATTTTTAGGAGTGTGCGTTAAGAACAGCAATGGTTTAACAAACAGAATTACTGCACTCATTTTTGCTGGAAAGACTAGAATGGATATTGTTAGGAGGAAATTGAAGAACAAGATAGCGGAGACACCAGTGAGACAGCAAATAATTGCTCTTTAATCCAGTGAGATTCTACTCCAGAGAATTGAAAGGATTTGTTCATTCTAAAACAGAATTTATTTATTAATCTTTTAAAAATCACACAGTAAAAGAGACCAGCCAAACTACGAGGAAAAACAATGTCTAATTTAAAAGGTGACTTTAAAGAACGGTACAAAAGTAAGTTTGCCATTGATCTGCCCTAAATTTTTGGACTTCGTTATTAGAAACACAACGTGTGTGTCCTCAGCAAAGCTTTGATGACAGATCTCCCTAGAGCATGATGGGAACACAGAGGCCCTGAGATGTCTCACTCCGCTTAATAAGGGAAGGGAAGGTTTCCTGCAGAAAGTGATGCCCGAGCTGAGCAGGAGAAGTCTGTGGACAAGTCACTTGACAGAATAAATCAGAAGAGAAGATAGAGCTGTAATGATGACTGTGGTCAGAGAGAGTTACTTCATTCATTGAACCTCAGTTTCATCTTTGACCTTGTTATGGTCACATTTTGACATAGCATTGAAGAAAGCTCTCCTTACTCAAAACTACAAGCTTGCTATAATACATGGAACGAGTACAGCGGGGTGCACTGGTGTGGTGGGATGTACCCTTTTCTACTTAAGGCCATTCAGTGGCTCCCGTTCGATGCTCTGGCTCTTCCTAAGGCTTCAGCTCCTCTTGTATCAGGCCATGCTTACTCTCTGTGCCAATCACGGCAGCCTTCTTCCAGTTCCTTGGGGATGTTAGAGCAAGGATTTCTTCACAGGGTGAGAGTAAAGGACTCATGAGCTTTGCTTCAATTAAGTAAAAATAGCTATGTAGACATTAAGTAAGAGCTAAACATTTCCTCATGGAGTATCAATTTTTGCTGGAATAGAGATAATTAGTTTAGGATGCTCTTAATTATGGGACATTTTAGGCCTTCAAAAATATACCTGATATTTATCCAAAAAAAAAAAAGGTTACCTGTAACTTCCCATTGTATTAACACATGTGCCTCCATTCTGGCAGCTCAAGGGTGTTCCTGAGTAAATCTCACATTCGTTAACATCAGCTGAGCAGAGAGGACCCTGTGATCGTATAAGGAACAAAGTCAGGTGCCAAAGGTCAGAGAGGTATCTGGGGCCAACATTCACATGATATGTTTAAGGATTTATACGTGGACAGTAAATAAGTCCTCAGTAAAGCCAAATATAATAATACTAATATTAATCCCTGGCTATTCTTTCTCTGGAACTCAAATTTCACCTAATAGAACCAAAGAGTTCTTCATAAGATCACAGCAGTCACAAGAGGAGAATCATTATCTAAACATTATAGAATCCTCAGTTCACAGGGGTGCTATGTCTGGGAATACTTACTTTTTTTTTTATGTGCATGCTGGGGACAGTTTCGCCATTATCAGGAAAAAAAAAAAAAGACCAAACATAGAAAACAAGAAAATGTACATAGGTACGTCAAGATTTGTTTGGTACCATCCAATGCTGAACGATTTAAATTAATGTTAACAGAAATGCTGTGCTCTTCCAGGTAGTTATCCAATCACATGAACCTCTCCTTTCAATGGCTTTAGTATTCACTGGGTTATACAATCAAACTCACCACTGCTTGGATTTTAGCATACATGGTGTACTTCATTTTGATTCTGGAGGCCACAGAATCCTAGAAACTTCGGATGGAGAATTAAATATGCCTGATGATTCCAAGGAAACCACAGATGCTGACCCGCCATCATTCTTAACCAAAGAGCAAGTGACTCACCTTCCACTGTGGGGGACAGATACAAAAAAAGGAATCATGCAGATGGAGGCAGGTTCCTCCGTTCTGGCAAGGATTGCTGCTGCAAACCTTTTTGTCAACAGTCTGAAACAAAGACAGGACAGTCAATGAGATGACTTGCAGTCGGCAGCAGCAAAAGGCATGTTACCATGCAGGTGTGTACGTGGGATTACATTTAACTCTTAGTCAATGGGGGTCACCCTCCAGACTTTAAAGCCATTACTTATGATCTTCAAATCACCTCTCTTGTGAAAAAAAAGAAAGCGTTTCCTATTATCAATCTTGTTCCTCTTCCTTAACTTTCAACATGCTTTTGACCATGGGTGGGATGAAGTCTGAGGGGAGAAGATTCTCACTTTGTCTTGGAAAAGTATTATTCCCCTGAGAAAGAGACCTCAGTGGACAAGAGTAAAGGTTCAAGTGTGAAAATAATAATGGATGTTCCCATTGCACAAAGAAAAGAAAATGGAGATTCCGATTCATTTACCTGTCATTCTTATCTTTGGTCCCTCCAGGTGAGCCTTTGAAACATTAGCATCTGCTGCTGCTGCCCCTCCTCCCATGGGTTAAGGTGACTGGACTCCTTCTGCTCCAAGTCCCTTTGTTTGAAATGTAGCCAGCTAAGACACAGCCTTCACCGTGGTGCTCACCTGACTGCTTTCAGCCCAGATCACAAACAAACCTACCTTTGTCTACCTCTACATCTACATAACCTGGGGAATCTGACCCTATGTCAGCTACCAGTTTCAATCTTGTAAGATTTTTATTGCCTTTGGGTGCAAAGAAAACTTTTTTTTTTTCTTTTTCTGATTTTTTTTTTTTTTTTTTTGAGACTAAGTCTCGCTCTGTTGCCCAGGCTGGAGTGTAGTGGCGCAATCTCCGCTCACTGCAAGCTCCGCCTCCCGGGTTCACATCATTCTCCTGCCTCAGCCTCCCAAGTAGCTGGGACTACAGGCGCCTGTTCACCACACCTGGCCTCATTTTTTGTAGGCTTTTGTAGTAGAGACGGGGTTTCACCTGTTTAGCCAGGATGTCCTCGATCTCCCTGACCCTGCTCGATCTGCCGCTCAGTCTCAGCCGCCCACAGTGCGGGATCACAGGCGTGAGCCACCGCACGCCGGGAGAAAACATCGTTTAGACGGGAACAGTTGGATTATGTAATGATAGCCAATTTTATGATTTCACTCACAGTCCAATTGTCTGGTTTTTTGCTTGTTGTTGATGTTGTTTTGTGTTTTGTTGTTTGTTTGTTTGTTTTGCGGGGTGGAAGCTCGCGTCTGTCACCCAGCTGGATGCCAGTATATGATCTCGGTTCACTGCAACCTGAGGGGTTGAAGCACGATTCTCGTGCCTCAGCCCTCCGGTCAGTAGCTGGGAGACGCAGGCATCATGCCACTGACCACGCTGCTAGATGTTTGCTAGGTTTTCTACGTAGCCGCCAGGCCTCTCCCCCCTCCACATGGTTGACCAGCGGTGCTCCACTGCCGTGAGCGGATCGCATGCAGCTGCCTGGACCCTCTATAGGAGTGCTGGTGGATGTCAGGCATGAGCACCCGTGTAACAAGGGGCCTGGATCGTCTGCTTTGTGAGAAAACTTATAAGGTAGGGCGAAACGTGTTCAGTTACAATTGCATAGGACAGTATACCACACATCAACACAAGTAGTAGTATGTTCTTGAGCACCGCACATACGACACAAACAAAGCGCATAGTATATGTATGTATAGTGACTCACAAAGAAAATTACGTCTGTTTCCTTCATTTTACAGATGAAATAGAAAGCCAAAGGAGAGCCAACTCAATACCATTTTTTGCAAAGCACATTCCTTCTCCACTTTGGTCATAAATTAGATGACCATACATCTGGGGGTCTCTTCATGAACCTGTTTTATTCCATTGTTCTATTTTTCTCTTTGTGCTAGCACAATTGGCTCTGTCCATCATAGAATGCTCTTTAGAACATTAACCACAAACTCATTGAAAGGTTTTCTGTTGGACAAAAGCAACACTGTCTGGGGACTAAAAATTTAAAAGCCTAAAGGGGCCCAGTAGAAAATGAAATCAGCAGTCAGGAGGAAGACAATAGGGAGTGGTGGGGACTGTGGTGGCCAGAGAGCACTTACCCTATCCAAAGGCACAAAGGCATTCACATTTGAAAATCACTCAATGTTCCTCCTGAGGGATGGGGGTAGGAGGACCGGCTGAGCATGGCCTCTAGTCTTTGACCTTTGGCTAAAATAATGAAGCCCTCCAGGAGACAAAACTTGAGTGCAGTGTCATGGTCCACAGCACTATTCTTTACTCATTTTCTTTCGCTCAACTACTCTCTAAAAAATGACAGTTGAGGGGTCAATGTATTATCTAAGTGGAGAAAAGGAATACACGAACTTGTTCATCAAATGACAAAAAGGTTTGCAGCAGCAATCCTTGCCGGAACGGTGGAACCTGCCTCAATCTGTATGAGTCCTTTTTTTATATCTGTCCTTCACAGTGGGATAGATCAAACTTAAAAGTAGAGGGAAATGCTTGAAGTATGAGCAAAACAGATGAAAAATATTTGTGCTGACATTCTTATGCTGGAATCCCCAGGCTTTTATGCAAAATTTTAAATATGAAGAGATTCTGTACATTTCTCTGTATAGAAGGTTATCGCTTCCATGAAAGTCTTAAAAAGGCCAGCTTCCTACAAAAGGGGTAAGAAGCCTAAGTTTACATAGATCAGTCTCCAAGTTTGTAGTACAGTTATAGAATGTTTTCTCTAAGAAACTATTCAAGTTTAATTACCAGTAAATGTAGTGTTAAGAAAATTTGGAATATTTTGTGATACACCTAGACTTCTGAGCTTAGTGTCAGAGATGATGCTTGCTTTCCAAGCCCCAGTCCCTGATGGGAGAATCAGCAAGTTGGGAGATCACCAGCTGACCAAGCACAGCACACAGAGCTAAAGGGTGATGGTAAAGGATGTGGGCTGTGGGCTGCAAACTCAGGGTTAGAAGCCCTAACAGGCTCAGAGACCTCAGCCTTATCATTTCATCTGTCTTAGACTCAGCTCTGCGTCTGCATCCTGGGAAGCATATGCTGGGATGAGAAGTAAGTTATGGGAAAAAGCAAGTTTTTAAATTAATCATCCATTCACCCTTAAAATAAGAATAGTGGCTCTATTAATGATTCTAGTATGTTTTCTGTGAAAGATGTTGGATGTGTAGTAGGATGAGACCTACCTGCTGCAAGCCTTGGAATTTTCTGTCAAGATCCACCAGCTGCCATTGGGGAAGAAAAAGCTTCAGTTAGCTGGTGCAAAGGCATTGCACAGGTGATGGTACAGCCTTGACATATTGTCCTAATGCCCTCTGCTAGGGACACACTTTGTCTGTTCATTACTGCTTTTATTGCCTTTTTCCTCTTCATTCCTCTCCCCTCAGGATTTTCTTCCTTCCTGTTCTGTCCTGTCACATAGATTTCTGGGGGTTTTTTTTTAGCCTTTTTTTTTTTTTTTTTTTTTAAGTACAACCCACTGTTAAGTTGACTGATTGCTTCTCTGTACACAGTGACTATGGGAATGTTCATAAATGTCAGTGATACATCCATTTCACCAGTAAGAAGGTTGCTCTTAAAACTTCAGCAAGGCTTATTTTCTTTCTTTCTTTCTTTCTTTCGTTTGTTCTTTCTTTCTTTCTTTCTTTTTCTTTCCTTCCTTCCTTCCTTTTCTCTCTCTCTCTCTCTCTCTCTCTCTCTTTTTTTTCTTTGGCAAGGTCCTGCCCTGTTGCCCAGGCTGGAGCACAGTGGCATGATCATAGCTCACTGCAGCCTCAACCTCCCTGGTTCCAGCCATCCTCCCACTTCAGCCTCCCAAGTAGCTGTGAGTACAGGCTCATGCCACCATGCCCAGCTAATTTTTTTTTTTTTTTTTGGTAGAGACAGGGTCTCACTATGTTGCCCAGGCTGGTCTCAAACTCCTGGGCTCAAGCAATCCTTCCTCTGTGGCCTCCCAAATCGCTGGGATTATGGCAGTTTTTGATATTAATTATCCATTCACTTGCAGTGAGCCACTGTGCCTGGCCCAAGGCCTACTTCTGCAACAAGTGCTTGCACAGCATTTCCTGCCTTCTGCCCATCACTTCTACAGCCTCCATTAGAGCTGCGCCATTTAACCAAACAGTGTGGTAGTTACATGCTAAATCTCCAAAGAGCACGCAAAATTGGCATATCCCCTACAAAACGGTTACTTATAACATTGAATTAGGGAGAACTCATCAGTTCTTACGATGTGGATGTCAGACTTACCTTGGAATCAAGCTGATAGATTTGACTAGATATATTTTGAGGCAGACCAATTGCGCTCCCTTTTAACTCTATAATATCATCTTTGTTTTTCTGGATCTAATTTTAGAAAAAGAAGAAGAAATGAAGAGCACTAGTGAAAATATCATATTATCTTACAGTAATATAATTAAAAACTTGAGTAGTATTCTACTTTAAGCACTAAGATCTTGCCTATTATTATAAAAACCAAAACAACACCACGTGTAATAAACACTGGGCTAAAATAGCCACAGCTTAATTCCACTTATCCTTTTCAGTAACAATAGATCAAGGTATTTTCCATTTGTATGTTTTCCTATAATACCAGTTTAGGGTGCTTATTAAGAAACCTGGCTTGGAAGCAGACTGTTTAGGTTTTAAGTCCTGGCTCAGCTATTTATCGCATGTCCTGGGCAAGTTACTTAACTGCTTCAGGGTTTCTTTACCTCTCATAAAACTAGGGTGACAATAAAGGCCACCTCATTGGACAGCTGTGAAGGTCAAATGAGATAACATCCACACAGTGCTAAGCACAGTGGATGGCCCACAGTAAGCTCTGAATAATGCTGACTTCTAACATTATGGCTGAAATATGCAGTGATTCCTGGGAACTGAAAACACCCAGTAAGGCAGGAGAATAACTGGCCAATTCTGTACTGTGGCAAAAGCAAATTGGTCACATCTCCACATATCCTTGGTCCCCTCCTTCCTCATATGCCCTGTGGAGAGTTTCAGTTCTACCCTCCATGTCTTCTCTGGACTAGGGTGCACTGCCTGGCACAATGAGCTTCCTTCTTTTAGCACACTCCCTCTACCCACCATTAAGCCAGGCCATTGCCCTTTACAAGAACATGTCTGATGTCCAATTATGTTCTCTACGCTAAAGATTCAAGGTACACTAGGAAGGGGGAGGGAAGTTGAAGACAGGTTGATTAATGAGTACAATATATAGTAAGATAGAAGAAATAAGATCCAGTGTTTGACAGGCCAGTAGGGTGACTATAGTTAACATTAATCTATTGTACATTTCAAAATTGCTAGAAGAAAACAATTCATATGTTCTTAGCATAAAGAAAAGGTAAATATTTAAGGTGATGGATATCCCAATTACCCTGATTTGAACTTTACACGTTATAGGAATGTATCAAATTATCACATGCACCCCAAAATATGTGCATCTACTACATATTAATAAAAAATAATAATTAGAAAAGATTCCAGGTACAGATTAATCTAGACTTGTTCAATTAAGTCACCATATATGGATATACAAAAACGACTTCAAAATATTTCCAGGGTATTACCTGATGTAAACATTCGCCAAGGTCTTCTTCATTTAATTTAATTTTTCCCAGGGATCCGGTTCTAAACTCAATGTTTTGGGCAGACCCCGTAAGAAACACCAAATTTCCCCTCTCTGTAGCCATTCGAGGCCTATATAATTCAAACCAGAGAATGCATCAGTAACTAGTAGGTACAATTTTTAAACCAAAATAACAAAGTTTCTTACTGAATAACTACAGGCCAAATACATCTTCACTGTTTGATCAACTCAACCCAACTGCCCCTGCTCATCTGCCATTTCTTTCTCTGCACATTTCTCGGAGATACCCCCTGGCAATTGCAAACAGATTATTTGCAAGACGACAGATAATAATTTGTGCATAGGAAGGTAATTTCATACCTCAGTCTAAATGTTTTTCCCTGTTTGCTTCTCAACATAATTTTCCTCAAGAAAAATTGCACCTTTGTTTATCTGGCTATTTGGGAAAACTGGTGAGGAATTAGCCTAGTTCCTGAGTAGGAATGACCCATGTGTTTACTTACTGTTGGAGATTGGCGCTTCTTTTCTGTCTCTGCAGCTCAAGTCCTCCAGCTTCGCCATTTAATTCAGCAAAAGTCAATAAGGTAACCAAACTCCAAAGAAAAGGTAAAGACATGCTCATCACCAACCTCCCGGGTTGGCAGGTAAGAGTGAGGCCACTCCAACCAACTGAGTATGGGATTTTGGAGAACAGCAAACCAGGCAGGTGTACTTTGAACCACGGAATATCCTGTAACTATTCAGTTTTTCCTTCTTTGCCCTAGAAGGCTATGTTATTTTTTCTTCCAGAGGGATGTAAATGATCTTAGATCTTCAGTACTCTTCAACTTGTGAGAGGTCAAAATCTACCTTAAGTGATGCACAACTTAATCATTATCTATTTGACCTTTGAACCAGTAACAAGCAGCTTTGAAAACATCCAGGAAAACAACCTTTGCTTAAGAAGTAACTATGTTTCAACAAAAGTAAACTGGTCATTATCTACACCTTTCTCTGCTCCCCTCCTTCCTTACGTCCCTTGCAGAGGAGTTCCAGTTCCACCCAGTGCTAGGAAAACTAGATATCCACATGCAAAAGAAGTTGAAGTCTGGACTAGGAATGCACCCTAGTCCAGAGAAGGCATGGAGGGTAGAACTGAAACTCCTCCACAGGGGATGCAAGGAAGGAAGGGACCAAGGATATGTGGCGATGTGACCAGTTTGCATTTGCCACAGAACAGAATTGGCCAGTTATTCTCTTCATACCATACACAAAAATTAACTCAAAAAGTTCAAATATCTAAGTCTAAGAGCTAAAACTATAAATTAACTCACAATGGTTCAAAAACTCTAAAACTATAATATAAAACTCAGAAGAGAAGTAGAAAAAGTCATGACCTTGGATGTTGGATTTGGCAATGATTTCTTGAGTATGATACCAAAAGCGTGGGCAAAAAAAGAAAAAAACAACAAAAATATATAAATTGGAATACATCAAAATTAAAAACGTTTGTGTATCAAAAAACACATCAACAGAGTGAAAAAGCAACTCACAGAATGGAAGAAAATATTTGCAAATCATATATATACAATAATGGGTTAATATCCAGAATGTGCAAAGAACTCCCACAACAACAGAAAACAAAAAAAACTCAATTCAAAAAAAAAAAAAAAAAAATGAGCAAAAAAACCCAAAAAAACATTTCTCTAAAGAAGACAGCAAAATGGCAAAAAAAAAAAAAAAAAAAAAAGGCACATGAAAAGATGCTCAACATCAGTCATCACTAGGGAAATGCAAATCAAAGCCACAAAGAGATACCACTTCACACCTATTAACATGGTCATTACTGAGAAAACAAAAAATAACTAATGTTGGTGAGGATGCAGAGAAACTGGAACACTTGTGCACTATGGGTGGGAATGTAAAGTGGTGGAGGTACTATGGAAAATGGTATAACAATGCCTCAAAACATAAAACACAGAAACACTATAAGATCTAGCAAGTTCACTTCCGGGTATATATCTAAAAGAACTGAAAGGAAAAAGTGAAAGAGATATTTGTACAGCCATGTTTACAGCAGCATTATTCACAATAGCCAGAAAAGGTGAAAGTAACGCAAGTGTCCATCAACAGATGAATGAATAAATGACATATGGTATATACACAAACGAAATATTATTCAGCCTTGAAAAAGTGAGAAATGTTGACACATGCTACGGCATGAACAAAACTGAAGACATTAAACTAAGAGAAATAAATCAGTTACATGAAAAAATACTATATGATTCCACTTACATGAGGTTTCTAGAATGCTAAAATTCAGAAAGACAGAAAGTAGAATAGTGGCCAGGGATTGGAGTAAGAAAGAATGGGAAACTACTATTTAATGGATACAGAGTTTCACTTTGGAAAGATAAAAAGAAGTTCTGATGATGGATAGTGGTGATGGTTGTAAAATATGAATATACTTATGCCACTGAAGTATACACTTAAAATGACTAAAATGGTAAATTTTATGTTATGTGTATTGTATAACAATCTTTAAATAATGAATCCATACTTAGGAAAATGGGACAGGAACTGCTTGCTATAGAAACTGTCTCAAGAAAAGAAAAAAATACTTTTTCACGTAGATTTGCTCCTTTCAAAAATTCAGAAAGACAATCTGATGAACTTTGAAGTGCCATCTAAAATCTTAAATAGTATCTCTAGAAAATTATCTTCTTAAATAAGGCTGTGCCATTTGATGTTATGGAGAAATGTAACACTGTTTTATACCTGTTCTGTTCGGCCACTACCGTAGAAGAAAAACAAAAATGGCTTGCAAGTTGCTATTTCCCTGAGCTGATATTGAGGTCAAGTGATGAGGGATATTTTGAGGTTTTGTTGTTTATTTAAAAAAAATAACAGATTTAATACAACAAATGGTATTTTGGGTTGAATACATGAGTTTAAAGTTACAGTAGTCCAAATCTGCTTTCTACCATGACACTATGCAGTCAAACCACATCATTCAATTTAGAAAACCAAACAGAACTAAAACTTTTCTAAATTTTCTAGGATCTAAGACATGAAAAACAGAAGGAAGACTTCAAGTTTGGGGTTTTGGTTCTAACTCCCAACATTCTTGGGCAGTGACCAAAAAAAAAAAGGGTAAGGCAGCAACAATACGTTTAAAGAAAGAAAATACACTTTCTAAAAAGAAGAAATTTCTCTCTAGAGTGATGGAACCAAGGGAGGAATAGGTCTGTTTTATCTACTGTTACAATGAGGTGATTTATCCCTATCTCATTATTATTAGTAACTGCTACAGTTTCAAGTTCTTGGTATGTGCCAGACATTGTATGGAGTAATTCATATATCATTTTGTCCTTAAAACAGATGAGGAAATAGTTGTTTAGAGATTCATTTTTATTTAGTGTCTTCACATCCTTACTATTCATTGCTATCTAACCCATTGGAATTTAATTGTATTTGGTTCCATCGAATCCATACTGAGAACATCTAATTTGTGCCAGATTCAGATTCAATGCTATGAATTGGGATATGGCGGTTACTAAAAGACATAGATTCTTGTCTTCAAAGGGCTTGAATTCTGGAGCAGGAAAACAGGAACAAAAGTAAAGAAAGATATTAACAGGGTAGTTCAAGTACTGATGAATGTTGAGGGAAATAAAAGAGGGTGACGTGCCATAGAGTGATGGGGGTGGGGAGAAGTCACTCATATTTATTGTGAGTGGCCAGGACAGGCTTCTATGAGGAGACCACATCTAGGTTGTAACCTGAAAAATAGTGACACTTACTTGCCAAGATCTGTGAAGCCCCTTGTCTCAGCTCCAGGAATTTTTACTTTTCCTCATCCCTGTGGGACCTATGGATGGCTGTGGAATCCATTCCCACTTTCTACACTGTGCTGTACACCCTTCCAGCTGGATATATGGTTTGAGGACATGCAGCATTAATGTCCCCACTGACTCTATGCTGGGACTACAGAAACCACTTAGAGTGATGAAAATATTCTACATTTCGATTGTAAAATCAACTACTGATGCACTCAAACTTTCCATGAGCACACAGACAAAATTGAATTTGAGGGAGAGCTATAAAATCTCACTTCTAAGAAAAATCTCTAGGTAATTACCATTGCATTGGGTAATACCCATGCAGGCTCTTTCAGGACAAGCTTCTTTGTGTTTTACTTATTTTGTGTCTTACTTATGTAGGCTCTTTGAGGACAGGATCATTATGTACCATAGCATATAATACTTTACTTGCGATACTCAAATAGTCACTGCTTTTAAAAATTTTTTAAACCTTCCAAATTTCTTCTATATGTCTTTTATATCTGCTTCTTTCAGTCAACACAATGCTTTTATAATTCATCTGTGCTGTAGTGTATATCATTAATTGGTTCCCTTTTATTATCGAGTAGTATTTCATCATATGGTTATCCCATAGTTTGCTTCTCTACTCATCAGTTGATAAACATTTGAGTTATTTCCAGTTTGGGACTATTATAAATAAAGCTGCTATGAACATTCGTGAACAGGTCTTTGTGTGAACATAGGTGTCTCACTGTGATTTTAATTTATATTTCCCTAATGACCAAAGATGTTAGTCATCTTTTTATGTATAGTCACCATTTGTCTACCTTCTTTGGTGAACTGTCTGTTTAGATCTTTTGCCTATTTTTTAAAATTTCATTGCCTGTCTTTTATTGAATGTAAGAGTTCATATATTCTAGATACAAGAATTTTCAAATACATATTTTGCGAATATTTTTCTGCCAACCTGTGGCATGTCATTTTGTTTGCTTAAAAATATTTTTCAAGAACAACAATAAGTAAGACACAAAAGACTACTTTCTAAGTGATTCTATATTGTATGATTCCATATGAAAATCTTAAAAAGCCAAAACTACATTGATAGATAACAAATCAGAGGACAGGAATCAGGGAGGAGACTGATTGCAAGGAGGCATGAGAGAACATTTAAGGGTGATGAAAATGTTCTGTATCATGATTGTGGTGGTAGTTGCATGACTGTATAAATTTGTCAAAACTCATAAAGCTGTATACTTAAAATAGATAATCTTTGGTAGATGTAAATTATAGCACAATAAAACTGATTAAAATTATTTCTCTTCTATATTTATAAATGTCTTCATATATCAGAATGATACAAAATATTAATTTGGTATTAAATTAAAGGCCAAGAAAAGATGTCCAATAGCCTTTACATCAATAGAGATGAAATTTATCATAATAAATTTGTTTGAAAGCTTAACAACTTGGCATGGGGTGGAGGGAAAGCTTGACAATATGAAGTTTTTGGCAAGTTTAGAATAGGATAAAATAGGCTGGGCTAGAATCTTCCAAACAAAAGGACAATTCAAACTCTCTGAGCTCTGGACGTAACTATTTTCATGATTATACTTTCTTAAAGACCACTGAACTCAGCTAATCTTTCCAGTGAATAGAAAAGGCCTCTAGCACGATCTTAATGAGGACTTTCTCTTTGAAAGGATTTTCCTGTTTTGTTAATGTGTTTATTACTCAACAAAGTAAAGATAATCTCTCAGCTCCCAATCTGGGCATTCAATTACTCATTGTCCTCCATGTTAGGAAAAAAAAAGAAAGTAACAGTCTTTCAAGGTCTGACTGACTTTTAGTGATGAGTTAGGGAATTTTACAACCAGCTCATTCACTCAACTCTAGCTCAGATCAATAGGCAAGTCAGACTGTCTGCATATGTTGACTCTGTGAAAAGCAATATAAAAATCAATTGCTGTTTCCAAGCCACTGTCACTCATTCTGTTTACTTACTCTATTCAGAATTTCTTCAGCAA